AACGCAAGGCGCTTGCGTGATGCGTACGTAGCACCTTTCCGCAGTACTAAAACTCTCTAATAACTGTTGGGGTTTCACGTCCCGAACCCACGGTATGATTATGAGAGACGCACGCTGAGTAGGGCTCGGTAAATTTCGACCGCCCGGATCTCTTTAAAGGGCACAGGGGTTCAGTAAAGCTTGCAGCTGGGCGAGCTGGTTCGTATTTTCAAGATAAATGGGTGTGCGCAAATCGAAGACAAGGGCACAGAGAAAAATAAGGCCGGGGCTTTCCGCACTTCGCCTCCGCCTAAATGCGGCCGCCGCAGCGGGGATTCAATCCCGCGACCTTTTGGGGTCGGCAGTCAAGAGCCACAACCAACTAGACCACCCTTGCTGATCACACTTGTGCGATGTTCACCGTTACGTCGTTCCTCGCAATCAGATCGCAGTGAAAACAACAACAAGAATAAACTTTTCCTTTAGCTCGGCCGAACACTTTAGGTTGTCTAAAGCCCCACTGCAGGCTTTCAGATTGAGTACGTAAAGTGGCATTTCAAAAGCATAGATACGAAAGCATAAAACAACGAAGAAACAACTGAGTGTGCAGTGAATGCAGCGTGACAACAGCAACTTCCGGCCGCACACAACGGGAGACGAGAACCGGACCGTGGCCCTGACCTTTCCAAGCTTAGACGCCACAAGCCTCCTTAATTGCCTACGCACACACCTTTCCGACTGTAGAGCAGCACCAGAACAAAAAAAAAAGAGGGGGGGTGTAAGCTGTGTCAGAAGGTGCTACGACGCGACGCCTGGGCGTACGCGCGTTTTTCCGAGTCGAAGCTATATAATTGTACGCGGAAGACGAACGCCGAAGCGAGAACAAGGCCGCTCTAATTCGGCACGCGCGCTGTCCACCACCATCGCAGCTCACGTTCGTACAAAAACAGTAGGTCCGAGCGGTAGTAGCCTGCCAGTCCGAAACGAACAAAGCCTCCCCTTCAGTCAAGCAAGGCGCTGCACAGACGCGTTCAAGGGGGAAAAGACAAAAGGAGAACGAAACGTAAGGGCAGCCGGAACGGCATCATGGCAACGGTTCGTATAATGCCGGCACGCGGAAGTACCAGGGCACCTCCCCCTTTCTGATCTCGTCCCATTACGCGAGCTCTAGAAGAACAAGGAGCGCGGGGCCAAAGACACCTCCTTCTTCTTTCAACGTGCGTGCGTACGACAGTGTCGGCGGAAAGAAAAAAAGCGGCGGTATCTGTACCACCTTACCTACTACAGGAGGGTCACTGCAACATCGCGCAGTTATACGCAGCTTGGCGTGCCAAACCAAGCCGGGAGCCGACCAGCGTAGCCTGCGTGCTGTAACCCGCAACGCAGGACATCGTATAGACACGCCTATAGCCCGGCGCCCTTCGCAGCCCATGCCCCCCCTCCCGACAACACCCAAGCCCGGCTCTACAGCAGAGCGGGTCCGCTTCAGAGAGAGAGAGAGAGAGAGAGAGAGAGAGAGAGAGAGAGAGAGAGAGAGACTCATCGTGCATACGCACTAGCTGTATTAGCTGAGAAATTGAAGCCCAGGAAAACGGAAGAGAGGTCTGCTGGGAGGAGCGAATTTGAATCGGTTCCAATCGGAAACGGAGCACAGTGGTTGATGCGCAGCAGCACGCCATCGCATGAAGTGTGTGCGCTGCACGCAGTCTCCATCATCCATCACCATCACACCACACGCACGTTGGGGTTCCCGATGGCGCGAAAGAAAACGCAGCGCTGCTTAGCGCTTCTTGGTGCCCCGTATTTCTTTCTTTCTAAATTTCGTCTGCTTCCCTTGGAAGACAGTACGAGCACGTGCACCCTAATAAATAGAGTAAAG